CTACATCACTGCGCCCTGTCTTTGCAGGAATGCAGGCAAGGAGTGAGGGTTTGCGGCCACCCTGGCCTGCAATGTGACCACGTTGGAGACCTCCCTGCTGCTCTTTCACAGGGGGGCACACCTCCAATTCTAGCCTTGCTGGCAGCTACGCAGGGCTGCTCCTCACTCCATAATGGGCAGAGAGAGATGAAGAAACTAGGATGTGTCCAGGAGTCCCAGCAGAATCCCAACTAGTGACACAGGGGAAGAGACTGACACAGTCAGGATGGACTGGACCGTGGCCCTGCTTTGCTTTCAGTGCAACCCAACTGTTTTCCATTAGAAGTCCCCATTGCTGGCACCTTCTTACCTTCCCCTTGCCCTGCACCTCACCTTAGCCACAGTCATGCCTGCACTGGCCCTGGGAGGGTGAGGAGCAGGTCTCACACAGAGGACTGGGCCTAGCTCCCAAGCCTGACGGAAGCCCAGTCCTTTAGCCTGCAAAGCCTCCAACACAGACCAAAGTCTCACTCAGCAGGTGGCATAGATGAGTATGAGGCACCACTATGCACTAGGTGGCACAGGAGCATTTCCAGCAGGCACTGCCCAGCATGCACCACACAAGAATGCCACCATGCAGCACTCAGCCCAGAGCCAATGTTTGCGGGAGAGCTTGGGGAAAGACGGTGTTAAGGGAAGAGGTGACAGCCAGGAGGGCAGCACAAGAGAGGACAGCAATAACAGCGAACCATGCTGGCTCCGGCAGAGCGCCACCAGACAGCCTCATAGCAGCGAAGGGGACAGAATGTGTCCACCCAGAAAGAGAGGCCAATGCCTTGCCCAGAAATGCCCAGCACTGATGATACCACTGGAAACAGCTGTCCTCTAGGCAGAACCAAGAACACACACCCTCCACTCCACCATCCTTCAAACAGAGCTCCTGTTTTCTGAAGCAGCAAACAACAAAGCAGGCACGGGTCAGGTCAGACCTCTTGGAAGCGGTGGGTGACAGAAGTGCACCCAGCTGGGGAAATGGCACTGCTGTCTCCCCTCCGTGGAGCCAGGCTGGCAGAGGTCGAGTGTGGCTGTCCTCCCTGCCCAGGCAACACACTGTACTGACATGGCACTTTGTAAAGAGCGGGATAGGTTTCTGCCCCAGGGTGGTCACTGAATTGGACTGGCAACACACACACTTAGCACTTCAGCCACTTCCAAAAGGCCAGGTAATAAGGCACCCAGGCAACTCTCTGGATGTGACTGGGAATAAGCAGGTTAAATGGTTTTGCATGTGAGCAAAGCACAGAAAACATTTCAGGGAAGTCGAGATGGTTTCCATGAACTGCACTGTGCTGCTCTCTCTGAATGCTGCAGATCCCCTTCCTTGCAATGCTGGGAGCTGTCCCCCCCACACCTGCCAAGGCAGGGACAAGAAAGAGGCCCAGCTCCTAGCTGCACTCCTCAAGTGAGGGCAGTGGACCACAGCATCACAAGGGCAGCAACTAGCCAAGCAATGACCAGCACAAAGTGTGCTCCACCGCAGCCAGATGAAACAACAATTGCAGTCTATGCCACAGCATCACACCTCCCGCCCCACACAGGCCACAGTGTGTCAGAGGCAGACAAGACCAGCGGACAGGAGAGTTTCTGTGGAGGACGTGGCAGTAGCAGAAGACCTCAGAAAATGGGATAGGGTGTGGGGACTGGCTGCAAAGGGAACCAAAACACTTCACGCCTGCAAGAGGTGAGAATGGTATGCTGAGTGGGCATTTCCACAGCTGCCAGCCACCCTGCTCCCCAGGCTCAGCTCACTGCACAAGAAAGCACCAGCAGACAGAGCTCAGGAAGGAGACAAGCTGCCATGGTGCAGCCAGCTCCCTCCTTCCACAGCACTGCCGAGGGACAGTGCAGGGGCCCACTCCACCCCATGCAGGCACAGGCCTCACAGCCCGGGCCGCAGAATGCTCCACTGCAGAGCAGCAGGCAGAGCTGCTGCTGAGATGGATTCCCATGACTGTCCAGCCTCTGGGTCCTGGTACAAGGGGGCCTGGGCCACACAAACGCCTGCTGCTTGCCAAGCTGCACTCAGAGGTGGTTCTCCTGCTCCTTGTTCTTGGCCTTTTCTCAGGGGCCCTGTGCTCTCCAGTCTCCAAGGCTGTGTCCTGGTGCTTCCTATGCCAGGCCAGCTCTGGGCAGGGAGCTGGCTCAAGGACAGGTGCATGGACCCACCAAGCATCATGCTTGCCTGTAACCTTACTGCTGAGGTCTGTTGCCTCCACTTGCCATGTCACCGGCACAACCTGACCAGGCCCTGCTGGAGCCACGTGCTATGGGAAGTGCCCAGGCAGACGGGGGCTTCAGCAGGGAGGTGCTGGACATTAAAGGCTTTGAGGAGCTGCCTCAGGTGGGGAGGTGCTTGTTGCAGGAGGCCAGCCCAGCGGCTGGACCACCTGGGTGCAATGGAGGACGCATGTGCCACCCCCAAGAGGATGCTCATCTGTCTAACACCAGTTCTTACTGGCAAAGAAAACCTCTAAGGAGACAAGAGGGGAAAGCCGAGCCTACTAGCCCTCAGCTCCCCCAGCCACAGGCCTCTGCCCTTGCTTGAGGGCTCCAGGAGCTCCCTGGGCTCCTCCTCTCAACCCCACACCTGAGACTACAATTGCAGGTGGCCCCTGGCCCCACAACTGCTAGAGAAGCCACAGAGAATGCTGCTTTTCTGCACAGACAAGCACCTCCCACCCACGCTCTCCACCCTCCCCTTCTGACTACTAGATGCTGATGGGGACAGAAAGGAGAAAACCTCAGCTCTGCATCTCAGCCAGGCCCATAAGATAAGGATGTCCTACCACCTGCAAGTGCTCCTAAGGGTCTCTGCAGGCCTCTAGTGCACAGAGAGCCCAGGCAGAGCCCAGGACAGTGACCTGCAGGCCCCACGGCACTCACAGATTCACAGAAGTTTAGGGCTGGAAGGGACCGTGTGCGATCATCGGGTCCAGCCCCCTGCTCTGGGCAGGAAAGACTGCGGGGGACACATAACCCCAGCGAGGTGTGCGTCCAGTCTCCTGTTGAAGATCTCCAGGGTCGGTGCCTGCACCCCCCCACTGGGAGTCTGTTCAGAGTCTGGTCACACGAACCCTGAAGACGTTTTTCCTTGTATCCAGTCTGAAACCTTCTCCTAGGAGTTTATGACCATTGCTCCTGGTTTTCCCCTGGGGTGTTTTGGTGAATAGTTGCTTGCCTAGCCCCTGATGCTCTCCCCCGATATATTTGTAAGCTGCCACCAAATCCCCCAAAGTCTCCTCTTTTCTAGGCTAAACACTCCCGTGCCTGTCAGCCTCTCCTTGCATGGCTTGCTCTTCAGGCCTCTAATCATACGAGCGGCTCTTCTCTGGACTCTCTCAAGCTTCTCAGCATCCTTCCTGACGTGCAGCACCCAGAGCTGGATGCGGTACTCCAGCTGCAGCCTCACCAATGCCAAGTACGGTGGGAGAATAACTTCCTAAGTTTTGCTGGAGATGCATCAGTTGATGCATGCCAGAGTATTGTTTCCTCTGCTAACTGGAGCACCACACTGGTTGGCACATTCATTTTACAGTCATGGTGCTAGCTAGCACAGCACCACTGAACCTGTAAGTTTGTGCAGATTTTTCCTCCCCAGATGGAGCACTTTACACTTCTCAGTTCTCAGCTTTGGCCATGTCACCCAGTGGGGCTGCCTGACATCTGTTCTGTGCTTTGGTGCTGGGGCTACAGATGCAGCAACATCAGCACTGAATACACAGACACAGCTAGGCAACCATTCCAGCCACCCTGGTACACAACGGACAGCAAGACCCCCAACACACACCAAACCCACCGCCTTCCCCTGGGGAGAAATGATGCCTGTACGGCTGCTATTTTCACCACAGGCCCATGGTTCTGAACCCTCCTCTCACCGCCACTTCCTGGACCGAGGGTGCTTCCCCACACAGGGGCAGCTTTCAGTTTTACTAAGTGAACTCACACTCGCCTCTGCCCAGCACGCTGTCACGAGCAGCAGCGGGGCAGACAGGGAAGTGAAACGGAAATTAGCACCTCCCAGGTTCTCCCCCCGCCAGAGCCCCAGAGTTCTCACGGTTGTTTCAGGAACAGGGCAAGAAGTGACACCTGGGAACGCACCTTGAGGGCCATGCTCCAGCTCCAGTGTCCCTGGGAGCTCTCAGCGCAAAGTGCTCTCTGCTCAGGGAAGTGCCACAACGGCCTCCTGGGAAAGCAACGGCACCCCTACCCGATGAGATGGCCCACACAATGTCTGCAGGAAGCTGATCCCTGCCCTGCCCTGCCCCAGAGGGACCCAGCACGAGCACCGCTTGCCCCTACCCAGCCCGCCAGGTGCTCCCATGGACAATGCTGGCACGTTCTCCGAGAGCGGTCCCCTCGCCCCTCCTGACCAGGTGGTGGCAAAGAGGAGACCCAAGGCCCCACATCAACAGGGGAACCGATTTCATGATTCTAAAAACAAACAGCGGAGGGAAATCTCAGGCTAGAATGGGCTCCTCGAGCAAAGAAAGGAAAATAGCAAGCAGGCAGTGGGGAATGCTTTATATTCCTAAAAGCCTTTTGTACGTTAACACATGGTGTCTGCTTCTCTCTAGTCACCTATTTATCACTCTCCTCTTTAGAGAAGGAAAAAAGCCCTGGCTGCTTTCCTAACGTGGAGTTTTGTGGCCGGGGGGAGGGGGAGGGTGCTTTAAGCATGATGCAAACCATTTGGAGTGGAGTGCGAGCTCTGCCAACACAAGCTGCACTATTTAAACAAGTGAGGAAATGATCGTATATACAACATGCCAGCGAGCACACACACACACCAGAGGAAGTCGAGAGGGGTTTTCATGACACAGAGCTGGATGTCAGCGGCTAAAAGGTCGATATTTTCCCTTAACACCCTTCTCAATGACTTAATCGTGTTCCGTTTGCACAGAAAACTTCCCAAGAATAAAAGTCTGGAGGAATTGAGGGGGGATGTTTGGCCTCGTGCTGACCTTGTCCGAGGTTTTCTCCACGTAGCAGGGCTCCTGGGGGGCAGCGAGCAGGGGGACGAAGCCCGACAGGAGCCGATCCTCTTCCAGGCTGAGCAGGGCAAGGTCTTCATCCGGGTCCTTGTATAATGGCACCTCTGACTGATTCACCGTGGTCAGGATGTTACAGAAGTCAGCCAGCGTCACCCACACGTCCACCGAGACCCTGGGAGCACAAGGGAGAGATGTAAGCAGCTGGGGCGTGCAACATGCTGGGCTCCTCTGCACCACTGCAGCAAATGCCAGGGAGGCGAGGGGAGGCATGGCACCACGCACCGCGAGCACACAGCACCTACTGACGGCGTGTGTCCCACGGGACAGGACTCCAGACACTGCAGCACAGGTGCCAAACCTGAGATGGGGTCTAACACTCGCCAAGCCCCAGCTCTTGCTTGCACAAGCCTCCCCTTTCTCTTACTCAATGCTGCTGGGGTAGGCAGCTCCCGGGATCCCCCTTCCATTCATGGCAGAGCCCACCCCTGCAAGCCCCAGCCTGGTACAGGGAGGGCAAGAAACATGGGGAATTCTCTTCCCCACCCAAAGCCCCAGGCAGCACTGAAAACAATCCAGCTCCTTCCAGACGGGGAAATGCTCTGGGTTACTCAATTTACAAACCTTCTGGGAAGGAAGGCTGCCCTGTCGGGCAGTGTAAGGAGGGGCCCGGTTAAGTGTAGGCCAGGCCAGCTCCCACCTGGCCCCCACAACCCCATCCTCCTGTCTGCTTAGGGCTCAGCTACAGCTTCAGCCCCTGGGGCAGACCCTCCCAAAGCCAGCGGCAACCAGGACTGGCCTTCCCCGGACAGCCCGACTCTCTCTTGAAGTGCAGCTGGAAGCTCTGGCCAGCCTCTGAAATCTGAGGCTGCAGCAGCGTGCCAGAGCTCAGGGGCTTTGTCTTTCAACCCGAGTCACGGGCTGTGACATTTTCTTTGCTCTGGGCCACAGTTTCAGCACTTGCAAGCGACCTGCAAAGCTGCCTCTGTGGTGTCTCACCTTCCGTGAGTGCCACTGATGTGCACAGACCAGAGTGTGAACCAGGGGCCTCGAGTGTGTGCCAGTGAGCTCAGCTCCCCTCTGCAGGCAGGCAAGAGTGACCCAAGGAAGGGGCAGGGTGAACACGCACACCAGCACAGCGGGCTCCAGCCAGCAGACCAGGGCTCCAGCCATGCTCAGTGGCTTGCCCAAAGCTGCTTCCTTCCACTTTTTGTGTTACTTTATACAAGGATTTCTTTCAGAAGGAAACTAGGTGGAAGAACTGCAGGGGGACAGACGGAGGCAGGAAGACAGCTGTGCCCAGGGCCTGCTGGGCTGGGTCCTGCACCCGACTGGGTCCCAGAGACAGCTGGATCCCCGCATACTGCCCAGGGGAGGTGCACGCAAGACGCAGCTGTGAAGAGAGATGCCCGCGCTGGCCTTCATGGCCAAAGTGGCCGCAGAGCTGGAGCGAGGCCCCGCTCTGTGAGCTGCTCCAGGTGGACAGAGCCTGGCTGGGTTATTTACGGGAAGCAGCGGACCAGGAGAGCAGGCTGAAATGAAACATCTTGTTTTCAAGAGCGTCCTGGGAGCAGGGCGGAATGAGCTGCCATTAATCAAAGCCCGGCACATCATCAGCGCACATGTAGCGCAACGTCGCCCACGTCCCGGAGCTGGGCCTGACTGGCGTGCGGGACAGGAGTGGGTCTGCGCTGCCCCTAGGACAAGGTTCCTTCAGAAAGCCTGGCCCGGCCAGGTCCAACCATCAGAAACGTTTCAATAGGGGAATAAAAAATAAACAGTCGCAACCCATTTTGCGGAGAGGTCTGTCCGAGGCCCTCTGTGATGTAATGGGAAACGCTGCGCTTGTGCTACCAGCTGGAAAATAAACAGAGCCGTGAGGGTTAAAAGGAACTGAACTTTCCACGACCCCTATCTGCAAAGAAGAAAATAATAAGAGGAATGATCCACTGCCCCACGGCTCTGATAGTTTATCCTCCGGCCCAAGCTGCAGAGACAAGCACCGGATGTGATAGGGCTGCTCTGGGCCACCTCCAAGGCGAGCTCTGCCCATGGGAGACGCGCAGGGGCTGCGAGGCTCAGCCCTCCCCCAGTGCCCTGCTGGCAGCTCGGCTCCGCTGCCTGAGTCCGGTCATACAGCGCTGGTGGGGCCCAGCTAGAGCTGGCGGCTCCAGCACACGTAGGTCAGTGGCAAGAAGAGCCGTGGCACGCAAGGAAGGGCAAAGGCTTCAGGCGTCGGCTGGGGGACGCACAAGGAGACTCCTGCCCCCATGTGCTGGGGAGGGACCGCGGTCCGGAGCGTGCCGCTAAGGAGGGGGTGACGGCACAGTGCCATGCCGAGAGCTCCTCGCACAGCCTTGCCCCCCCACGGACTGGGCGCATGCAGCCAGCACAGGTCACACTAGTCACAGCGCCATAGCGATCAAACCTGGTTCACCTGGTGCATCAACGAGCCAGGCTCTGCACACAGCCTCCCCCTGCTCCCCTGGTGCTCCCCAGAGCTTGCCCTTCCAACCCAACCGCTGCCCCCAGCACTCCCCCTGCAAGGAGCTGCCACCAGCCCTTCCAGCCTGCTTAACCCTGCTTCCCTTTTGCAGGTGAGAGTCCCCCTCTGGGGTCCCTTCGCTCTGCCGTGAGCCACAGCAGGCCACTGCCATGGTCAGGGGCTGGGCTGTCTCCTCTGGTGCATGCACCACAGAGCGCACAGGGAGGCCTGGCAGGAAGGGAGAAGACAGAAGGGACTGTTTGTCTTCGCTTAGTCCTCTCCTCTGACATGGACTGGGCAGAAAGCATCTGACAATCCTGCCCCTTGCCCCTCTGGGCGGCTGCTCCCCATCACTTGTGCTGCTTCAGGGACGGTCACCTCCTCAGTGCTGTCCATCACTGGCCTGTGTCACCATGACTGCGCTGCCAC